GAAAAGCGTGGCTGCTGGGACCCCAGGCTCCTCTTTACATCCTTCCGGTCACCTTTTCTACCCTCCTCCGGCGATTCTGTAGTAATTAAGCACCAACTGGGGAAAGCGGTAGTGAGTCTATTCTGGGACTGTGAGGAGCATGAGAGACAGCAGCGTTACTGAGAGTCAGGGACAGATAGGGGATTTGCTTTCTGAAATGGGGTTCCAGAGAGGCAGCACCCCATTGTGTGATGTGCATGGATAGACTGAAGTACAAAATCTGTTTTTTCCCTGGCTTTTTCACACTTGAATCAGTCATGAGGGGCCTGTGACAGAGGTTGTAGAGAAACATCTAAATAACAATTTCATCCAAGGTAAATCCCCAGATCTGTAGGATGATGGACAAGGGACAATAGTTTAAGAAGCCCATTACATAGCAGCAAAGATGGAAAGGAAGAACAGTGTGCAAGCTCAAACCCTCTGGGAGTGTGCAGCCTGGGAGATGGCCCCCCCAGATACCCAAGGCCAAGGAAGGGTGCGTCCTGAGAAAGTGCTCACGTTCACGGGGTCCGTGTGAAAGGAGAGAAAGCAGCCCCTTTAAACAAACACACGCCCTGCTTTGTATTATGCTGTGTTAGCAATGACAACCCAGACAATCTGGCTTCCAGCCAGCTGTCTACGTGAGGCAGTTGCCAGCTCTTCTGCTGGGACCATTGTGCCCAGAACCTGCAAAGCGGGTGCTTGGGGCCGCATGGTCATGCTGTCGGCAGAAACACTCCAGGGCCAAATGTGCTCTTGTTTCAAAATCTGGCTCTTAGAAAAACTATGTAACTCAGCAGGATCCAGACAGAGAAAGTCATCATCGCCCTACTTGTAGATGGGCAAGGCACAGAGGTGTTTTTCAAAGTCAATTTGGTGGGTCCATGAAAATGACCAACAGATCTTCTCATGCTTGTAGACATGCCTTAAAGGCAAAGAGTGGAGTCCCTTTCCTTAAAACTTCCTCAGGGTAATGTCTGCCACCTCTCCTCTTGTGCGTTCTCGGTGGAACTCAGGCACACACATGGGCCCCATTTCAGGGTTGAACATGGAAGAAAGGACATCTGAGGAAAGGACATGGTTACTGTGGTTGCAAAATGCCACAAGCTCAGTGGCATAAAACAACACAAATGCATCATTTCACAACTCCACCGAGAATCCAGGTCACGTGGGTCCTTCGCTTAGTGTTTCACAGGCGGAAATTGTGAGGTGGCAGATCTCTGCTTCCTTGATAGCTGTGGCCCAGGGGTCACTCTCTGCTCCTAGAACCACCCCATGGGCAATTTACAACATGATTCTTGCTCCTTTACCCAACCCAGCAGGAGTGCCTCTGTCTGGCTTTCTCCTTTGCAGTCAGCTGGGGAAAACTCTGTGCATTTAAAGACCTCACATAATCGGATCAAACCCAGCCAGGACCCTCTCCCTGCTGCCCACCATGGTCACATAATCGGATCAAACCCAGCCAGGACCCTCTCCCTGCTGCCCACCATGGTCACATAATCGGATCAAACCCAGCCAGGACCCTCTCCCTGTTGCCCACCACGGTCACAGGAGTGGTGTGCTGTCCTGTCCCTAGGGGACCTGTGCTTAGGGGAAATTTCACAGGCAAGCACACCAGGGGTGGGGCCTCAGGGTCCACCTTAGAATCCTGTCTACCACAGGTGCCAATGGGATCTGATCCAGGAACAGGGTTTCAGCCATCATTCCCTCAGGTATGTTGGGCACTGTTAGATCTTTTTATCCAGTATACCTGGGTTCAGCTGTTTGCACCTCCAAACATCCAATCACTGTTTTCACATTTTTGAGTTTTATGGAATGTGGACAAATTGGAGATATTTTGTGCTCAAAAAACATTTCAAATTTCTGCACATCACCTGACCCTCTGTTTATGTGGGGCTTTGCTCTGTCACATTCTAGAAAGCTCTGAGCCCCTGTGTGGGTTGCCGGCTGACCTGACTCATGGTCTTGCTCCTCCTCACAGCAGGGTGTGGACTCAACAGACCTGGAGTTACCTCCTGGGACCCTCCTTGGGCCCCAGAGGTACCCATTGTTTCTGCAATGGTAAGAGTGGATTGACCCATAGTCTCATTTCTCAGCGATGGAGTAGGAAGAAAAGCCTGACCCCAGTGGGTTTAAAGACATTATGGGAGGCCAGGCATGGTGCCTCATGCCTGTAATACCAGCACTTAGGAAGGCTAAGGCGGGAGGATCATTTGAGCCTAGGGGTTTGAGACCAGCCCGGGCAATATGGTGAGACCCCATCTCTACAAAAAATAGGAAAAAATTAGCTGGGTGTGGTGCTGCACACCTGTAGTCCCCACTACTTGGGAGGTTGAGGCAGGAGGATCACTTGAGACCAGAAGGTGGAGGCTGCAGTGAGCTGTGATAGCACCAGCGTACTCCTGCCTGGGTGACAGAGAGACATCCTGTCCAAAGAGAAAGAGAGAGAAAGAGAGAGAGAGAGAGAAAGAAAGAAAGAAAGACATTATGAGTATTTAACATGTTTCCAACTAGTCTTTAGCCATGAGTTTTTCTCCAGCCTCTGAATGAAGACTTAATATATTAACACTGTATTGATTAACTGTAATTTGTTCCAATTTAATAAACTATACATAGAATCAGATGTCTCTCTCTTTTTTTTTTTTTTGAGACAGAGTCCCACTCTGTCACCCAGTCTGGAGTGCAGTGGTGTGATCTCGGTTCACTGCAACTTTCGCCTGCCGAGTTCAAGCAATTATTCTGCCTCAGCCTCCTGAGTAGCTGGGACCACAGGCACACACCACCATGCCTGGCTAAGTTTTCGTATATTTAGTAGAGATGGGGTTTCACCATATTGGCCAGGCTGGTCTTGATCACCTGACCTTGTGATCCACCCGCCTCGGCTTCCCAAAGTGCTGGGATTACAGGCGTGAACCACCGCACCCAGCCCAGATGTCTCTCTTTTAAAAGGGGTGCTCTGGCGCTGACGTAGAAAGATTCTGCTTTTGGACTTTATGGCAGCTACAGAGTCCAACATTTGCCATGCCAGCATACCAACTTTATCCCAGTCTAACATTTTACCTGAAATAGATTATTCCTCTACAATCTTATGAAGAAAATTTTATATCACCACTGAAGGCATAGATTTGCTATACCAGTTCTATTTTTTATCGTATGCTCTAAAATAGATATACAGTTCTTAGGGTTTAATATTTGTCAATGTAACATCTCAAACATTTTGGGAAACTCTACTTTAATATGAAGAAAATATCGGTTTCAGCAAGTTTCACTAGAAAAAAGCCATAGCGTTGTATTTCTTTGGCTATATCTAGGGTATTTGTTTAGAAAGTGTTCCAGTGAAAGTTATTCTTGTGGAAGAATACGGTCATACTGACCTTGGGTTCCTTCCCAGTTCCTAGCAGTGCCTTCATTGCCGAGCAGAACTGGGACTAAGTACTTTCAAGAGACCCAGACTGTGAAATTGACCAGAGATGTTGCACTTGAGGCCCACTGATGTTCCTGATGCAAAGGCTGTCCCTGCTGCTGGGGAAATGGGCCTTCCACACACTGAGCTGTCATGCAGTGATTGGGAGTTTCACTGCTGACTGAAGGTCTTCTAGGTCCTTTGTGCTGTTTAATACATTCCCGGCCCGTGACTCCCTGACTTGCCTCTGTCACCGCCAGCCCTTGGCTTCCCCCAGGCTGGTGTGGGGACTGCCTCCTCCCTGGTCTAGCAGGACACCTGCTTGGCGTGGCCACTCTCCGGTCACCCTGAGGCTGCTCACAGGTGCTGGGGGTGGCACAGTTCCTGCCTGGTGGGGCTGGCAGGGTGTCCATGTGGACAGTAAGAACTGGGCCCCAGGGCATTAGCTGAATGCCTCCCGGGAGGAGAGAAGGCCTCTGTAGGTTTGAGCAATGACTGTGCTGACAGCAAACACAAACCTCCTCTAGGTGCCTCAGTCCTCTCAGGAATTCATACTCACTGTTCTGTTTAGAAGGCAAAAATGCCAACCAGGTCAAGGTTCTGGGACACCACCCGCTTTCTTTTTTGAGCTGAGAATTTCACTGTATTTGTGGCCCAGGTGAGCCCCACCCTACCTCCCAGACATGTGTCAGGGTTGAATGTATTTTCTGTATCTTCTAAATTGTTGTGAGTTGGAATGACTTGTGGTCCTGCTGGGTGGGCATCGTGTACATGTAGTGTTTCAGTGTGGAACGAGCGCTCAGGCCACATCCCCATTCCTTCAGGAGGCACAAACACCTGGTCAGCTGAGTGGGGGTGGGGGCTCTGCACATAGCCAACTCGCCACCCCTCCACCCCTCCATTTAGCCAGGTCAACGGGCGCAAGCTTCGTAAGCTCTCTGTGCCTGTTCCCTTGTCTGTAAAGTGGGAGAGGTAAGGCAGCTAGCTTAGCACAGAGCGTTTTGTCAATATCAACTGTGCAAAAAGGAGAACAGGGCTTCCTTGGTGTGTAGTCAGCAAAATGCTAGTAAAAATATACTGGCTAGCCTGCCGAGATACAATTTTACCCAATACCCAGTTTTAGCCTAAAGTTTGTTGGGTCCCAGAACTTCCTACTTCATCTCTCAAAACATCTTAGATTTTGCCTTTTGGAGTTCCAAACTCGAAAAGATTATAATTTGCCATTCTTCAAATCCCTGTTTTACTTTGCTTAAATTAAAAAACAAAAACTTTTACCTCCACCTTGGCAAACCCTTGTGGGAAATGATATAAAGGTTAATGGAAGTTAGTTGTGGACAAGTTGGCTTGGAGTAATTGTAAGGAGGACCAGGAACCCTGCAGAATCGAACATTAGAGATATTAGTTTGGTGCAAAAGTAATTGTGGTTTTTGCGTTGTAGTAGTTTGCCATTTGATACTGGATTACATTGTTAAATAAATGTGGTTACATTATACATAATTTTAACGTGCATTTCTCGCTTTTTTTTTTTTTTTTTTTGCTAATGACTTATTCTTTGCTGTTTATTTTGTGTTTATTTTAGACTATGGAAATGATGTTAGACAAAAAGCAAATTCGAGTGATTTTCTTATCTGAGTCCAAAATGGGTCATAAAGCAGCAGAGACAACTCACAACATCAACAACACATTTGGCTCAGGAGCTGCTAATGAATGTACAGTGCAGTAGTGGTTCAAAAAGTTTTGCAAAGGAGATGAGAGTCTTGAAGATGAGGAGCATAGTGGCCAGTCAGTGGACGTTGACTATGGCCAATTGAGAGCAACCATCAAAGCTGATCCTCCTACAGCTACATGAGAAGTTGCCGAAGAACTCAACATCAACCATCCTACCGTTGCTCAGCATTAGCAGCAAATTGGAAGCGACAAAGCTCGATAAGCGAAAATTTAAAAAAAATCATTGTTTTAAAGTGTTGTCTCCTCTTATTCTATGCAACAATGAACCATTTTTTGATTGGATTGTGACATGCAATGAAAAATGGATTTTACACAATGACCAGCAATGACCAGCTCTGTGGTTGGACCAAGAAGAAGTTCCAAAGCACTTCCCAAAGCCAAACTTGTACCCAAAAAAGGTCATGGTCACGGTTTGGTGGTAGGCTGCCAGTCTGATCCACTCCAGCTTTCTGAATCCTGGTGAAGCCATTAGATCTGGGAAGTCTGCTCAGCAAGTTGATGAGATGCACCAAAAACTGTAACATCTGCAGCTGGCATTGGTCAACAGAAAGAGCCCAATTCTCCATGGCAATGCCTGACCACACATTGCACAACCAACCCTTCAAAAGTTGAACAAATTGGGCTACAAAGTTTTGCTTCATCTGCCATATTTACCTGACCTCTTACCAACTGAACTACCACTTCTTCAAGCATCTTAACAACTTTTTTGCAGGGAAAATGCTTCCACAACCGGCAGGATGCAGAAAATGCTTTCCAAGAGCTCTTTGAATCCCAAAGCACAGATTTGTATGCTACAGGAATGAACAAACTTATTTCTCATTGGCAAAAATGTGTTGATTGTAATGGATCCTCTTCTGATTAATAAAGATTTGTTTGAGCCTAGTTATAACACGTTAAAATTCATGGTCCAAAACTGCAATTACTTTTCCACTAACCTGACAAAAACCTGGCTCTGGGCATTTTGTTCTCACTGCAAAGGGCAGGCCCAGACCTCTTCACTGCTGCTTCTTGGGCTGGTGTCTGTGTCCCAGGCTCCAGAACTCACTGGTCTCTTGCACTGTATAAGCACTTACTCCTGGGAAAGCTCATCCAGGACCATGGCTTCTGTTCCCTCTGCAGCTAATGGCTTCTGAGTGCAGGCCTTAAACTCATATCCTCCAGCCACCCTCAGCTCCACTCGGATAACTGGAGAGCATCAGAAACCATGCAAGTCCCAACCAGATTCAGCATTCGTGGTCTGCACCCTGCCCTCCCAGTCCGGGAATGGCATCATCCTTCGCAAAGTTGCTTGCCCCCAAAATAGAAACGGCTCCTGATTCTCCTCTGCCTTGGAAACAGTTCCAGAATACAGCTACCTCTTGTTGATCTGGGCCACACTCAGGTCTCAGCTACCCAGCCTATGACCTGTCTCCTCAAGTCTCCTCTTGGTCCCCTTTGGTGTTTCTCTGTGCAGCAGGCAGAGTGAGCTTCCAAATATATGATCTGTGCTCCAGACTCACCAATGGTTTCTCATATCACAATGAAACTCTGAATTCCTTGTTGTGAGGTGGATCCTCTATGATTTGTCCCACGTGGTCAGATCTCATCGCTGCCCACTTGTCTGTCCTGTGCTCAGTTCTGCCCACACTGGCCATGTGGTGACAGGTCCAGAATCCTCATGCCCCTGTCTGGAGTTCTATTCCCCAAGCTCTTTGCAAGGGGAGGCCTTCTGCAACCAGTCATCAGAAAGAGCACCACCGTTGCTCCTGTCTTCCTACCTGCTTTACTTTCTTCATCTCCATGATTATTCGCTGAAGCTACATGACTGATTATCTGTTGTCATTTCTTCCCCACTGTAACAGAAGCCCCAGAAAACCAGATATATCATCTCGTTTACTTCTATAACTCTAGCCCCCGAAAGTATGGCTAGCAGAGTAGGGACTCTGTAAGCATATTTTGAATGAACAAATAAATTAATTGATAAATATATTTTGAGTGAATGAATGGCACATTCTAGTACCAAAAAGGACACTGTGGTCAATTCTGTTGATTAATCAGAGTCTATGAAATGTCAAAAATGAGACATTTCAGATTTCATTGTTCATAATCTCCCCCAGTATGTGCCTTTGGTGAAAAAAAACAAAACAAAACAAACAAAAAAAAGCCCATGGTCAAGAGTAAGAAAAAACCTCTGGAACTGTAGAATTGACCTTTGAGTATAATTCATTACTCTGTAAGGGGAGCTGTACCAAGAGTGATATTCTACAGGCTTGACCTGTAGGCAATCCCCACCCTGATGGGGCAGCTGGATCTGCCATCACTGTGTCCATTTGGAATGAAGACAGAATTCACCAAGACAGTTCCATTTTAATGTCCCATGAATCCCAGGCTTAACATAGCAGAAATTAGTGTATACCTGCTGAGAATTAAGGACATTCACTTATCAAAGTGATTCTGTGGAGACCTGGTCAGTAAGGCGATAAGATCCAAGGTTGTGTTCTGCACTTTTGCTTATGGGATGTTTTCTGTATGCCTCCCAGCAGATTAGAATCTCTTGAAATCACACTACATGACACCTCTTATTTCTGTAGGCTCCTCTCCCCTTCCCCTTCAGAATACTGTCACCAATCTGTAAAGATGCATCTCCTGGCCCACTGTCATTCTTTATAACACCACTAATCTCTTAATGTTTGCTGATTTCAATGCCATAGAGGAGAGTTTTCAGATTATACTGCCTCCCTCCCCACCAGTTCTGGGCCTCCTCCCTTTCAATACTCCTATCCTCCACTCTACCTCAGCACTCTCTGCCAGGGCAATACCACGATCATGATTACTCATGTCGTTACTAGGAATTGTCCAACAATCCTGCCACAGTTGCCATTTCCAGCATCCTGCTCTCCTAGCGCCGCTCTCATCTTCCCAGCTCACTTGCATCTGTGTGTCTGCTGTTATGATTCTTCAGCCTCAATGGACTCTCCCATTCACTGCCTCCTTCATGCCTTAGCTGAATAACCCATCGTGATCACACCTTTACATGCATCGTTAACTCACACAACTCTCTCATTTTGTTGCATGCCTCTCTCTGGAAAGAGCCCTGAGCTTGATGGACCCCATTTTCCCAGGACTGGCATTTTGACTGGTTCTTGGTAGTACAGCCACAGTCCGTCCTGGCTGGCCAATGCTTGTGCTGTCACAGCCAGTGTTGCTGGATGCTCTGAAGTTCACCAGGGAACTTTCCACCTCTCTATACTGCACTCATGCACCTGCTGGTGGCAGGAAAAATACCCTCCAGTATGCTACTGGCCTCACTTTAATTTCATAGTATCAGATGGGCCCTCGCTGTTTCCTGCCATCACATCACATTTCCTGGCCAAATTAATCTCATGTCCCATATGATCATTTCATGACTCCTGTCTTCACACCTCCAAAACTTCCTCTCTTCTCTCTCAGCCAATCACCTTGCTTCCTATTTCACTGGGGGAAAGAAACAAAAGGAGTAATCACAGCAAACTTCCACCGCCACAGAAATCAACATGTACCCTGTTCATTCTTATCTAGAAAAATCTTTCCTCTTGTTCGCTAGATCCTATGCTTTCTAGCATTTTGCTCTAGAAAATTCTCCCCTCTCCTGCATAATAAAAATTTCCCACAGCAGTGAGACATTAACATCAGCATAACAGTGCACCGTAATGTTTATCATTTAAAATAAAAACAACAACAGCAACAGCAAATTTTTGACTTCACAGCCATCTCCAGCTACAGCCCATGCTGGGTGTGTATTTTCTATGTTTTCCCCTGTATTCCAGGACATGGATGCCTAGGAGCTACATTTCCCCAAATTTGTGCCAGAAGGCTCTGCTTTAGATGCCACCAGTTAGAGGCACTCTCAAGGTGTGTGGAAGGGAGAGGAACATAGAGTGTTCTTTTAGAAGCAAGTCGTTCTGGAGCCTCAGACCATCTTACTTCTATCTCTGGGCCTTTCCGTGTTTTGTTTCCTTGGCAGGGAGCCTTTTCTCCCCTAGAGAGACACAGCTCACCCATTTACATCTTCACTCAGATGTACCCTTCTCAATTAGACCTTTTTAACCACCTTATTCAAACCCACTCCTACACATTTTACTTCCTTTCCTAATTTATTTTCCCCTCTAACACTATCATTGCATGACCTACTACATAAATACAGTATGTATTGATTTCCCTCACTAGGCTGCACACTCCACAGAGACAGGCATTTCAATCTGTTTTATGTACCGCTAGAATAGTGCCTGACATAGAGTAGATATGTAATGTATTTGTTCATTGATCAAATGCATGAATATAGCACATTATTCAAGGCCCTAAAATTTCTTCTGAGCACTTCTTTAAGGGTAGCCCATAAGTTCCGGTTTGTCCAGCTTTTATTATGGTCATAGTCTATATTCTGCTATTTGGTTTTAGTTTTCTTTTTGAGTTAGGAGTTGGTTAAGAGATGGGTTAAGAATGTCCAGATTACAGTGATTGTTTGCTTGTTTGTGTGTTTGTTTTGGCAGTTTTCAAATATGGCTTGTTTTTCTGATGCTAAAATCACTCCAGTTTTTTAAGTACCTGAGCAAACTGTGTTATGTAGTAAAGCCCAACTCACATTCTGGTTCCTGCCCAGTTACATAGGGATGGGTGGGCTGGAACCTCAGATGTACCACTTCCCCTGAGAGGCCCTCCCCCAGGTTCCTGATGCCTTCCCTCCCCATGTCTTCTGACACCCCTTTTGACCTTGCTCTTGGCCATTCTCCATCTTATGTCAGAGTTTACAGGTTTGACCATCTTTAGGCTCATCAGAGATGCAGTTTTCATTTCTGTTCTCTATATTCCTTTTTCCATTGGGTGATTTCTCGGAAAGAAATCTCATTTGGAGAAATAGCCAAGAAATTTAGGAAAGGAAGAAAGCAATGATTTTGTGCTATCATGTTAAAACCAGATATTGCGAAGTTTAGACTACATTTGAAACAACTTGTTTTAGTGTATAGTTGATCCCCGCTACCTTATTAGATCCCTGTATCTATCCTAGTCCTTCACAAACGACCTGAAGACAGATTAGATGTTTTCATTGATGTCTTTCTTACAGCCACTATTTGTTATAGGAATGGATTTGCAAATACATCACAGAGACTGAGTGCTTCCTCCTAGATAGCGTTTCCTCCTTCTTCATTTGAAGCATTTCCCACTAGGAGAATTATTGTACTTGCCAAGGCTACATAAACCCAATGGATAAATTTAATCAAGAAGTGATGAACTGAGGTGAATAAGGCCAAATAGCACTTTTCTATGAAACTCCCATTTATAATGAAAATAGAAGTATAAGAATGGTTATAATTATAACCTGAAATATAATTAAATAGACATTCAATATATGTCAACATTTTAAATAATTAGGATTGCAGCACTTATAAATTTGTTTTAAATTCTTAGAGGATAGCGTCATTGTGTTCAAAGTACATAGAACCTGGCACATAATAGGTGCTCAATAAATGCTTAGCAAGTGCATAAATATAAGAATACATATAATCTGACTTATATCTAGAAGCATTTCATGTGCTTGATTTGCAAACCTAGCTCTGCACAGTTCCATAGGGTACAATTTTCTGGAGTGTTTGTAAGGACACTGGGGCCACCTATGCCTTCATGCTTATCTTATTATTCTAGTCTCAATTTCTTCTCCCTGACTTTTCTAATTAATGTGGGGAAGGGCTTCCCCAGGGAATTTTGTTTCTGATTGTTAAGAGACAGTAGAATTCTTGACTAACAGTGGCTTTGTGTTTTCACTCAATGTTTTCTGCCTTCTTGCCTCACAGATAATTGAAGAAAATCCCTTAAGTAAACACAGCAGAAAGCTTCATCCTAACCATGGTCACGATACTATTTTTTCC